AGAAACAAGTCTGACACCCTCTGCAGTAACCGGTTGGCACATTTTGGTTTTTTTTTCAAATGCCTTCAGAGTTGTCTCCACCCCTGTCTCAAAGGCACACAGTATTGTGAGAAGATAAAAAAAAATGGGAAATCCTGCATGCTGGCCCCTGAATTTGACACATAGGTGAAGGAGAGAAACCTCTTTTCCATTTCCACGGCTTAAAATTTAATCTGTACACGTTTGCCATCACATTACACCCTTTCCATGAAGCTGACTCACCAGTCCAGGAGCACACTGTTCTCCCTCCTGAGAGCACCCCTGGGAGAGAGCATGCTGTGGGCAACTTTATACATAAAAACTAACCAAAAATAGCAACTAATTACACTGATGTGGCAGTCAAGGATTTTAACTCTCTTCCTTGTAACATTAAGTCTGCTCTCTGAACAGTATTCATAACAAAGAGTTTCATATCCTTGGTTTGACACACAGAAGACCAAATTATACCACTGTTTTGAGAAAGACAATGGCACTACATGATGTTGGATAGAAGAGCCTAGATTTTTTAATTCCAGAATCCCTCCCCCCCTTATCTCTACTAGACCCAAACCGTTGAAGGAGAAAAGAGACATATTCTATTTTAATGCATATTCCCACACAGGACCAACGAAGCCTTTCACAGACAAAGGAACTTTGATTAAAATTCTCAATATTGTCTAGAGATCATCCACATCAGAGCAAAATCCAATTAAAATTAGGTCATAGTCCTTCTGTACCTGCCAACAGTCTGCCAAATGGTTCTGATGATCAACACATGATCCGAGGAGTCTTCAGCCCTGTCAGACACTGACCCAGGAATTCCCAAAGCAGTTCCTTCTTACCTTGACAGCACAAGGCTGAAGTGCTCAGGAGCCGTGACTGGTGACAGAATAAAAATGCAGAGGCACTGCTGCTTATTCACATACCAGTTAAAAAACAGTGTTCCTTCTTTTAAAAAGTACTTAAAAAATGAAATGTCTCGGGTCCTCCACTTTGTGATTAAGTTAAATCTGCTTCTTTGCAGGTTGTAGCAATAAAGCATTAGAAGTCATAGTAATAATCCAGCTTTGCATCCACAGTTTTGCATCCTTTATCTGAATAAATTCTCTCCTCTCTGGGAAAGTAGGTCATCTCGTCGGCTATTCTGGTTAAAATGTCTTCATCCACAGCATAGCCACGTGATTCAACCTCAACCCTGACACACATTTTCACATGTTTGTATTCCAGAGGCAGGAAAGGGATAAAGTAGTCAATGAGATTTTTATCAATCAAAGTGCTGTGCCAAAACCCACCTGCAAAGGGAAAAAGAGGCTTGTTACTACTCCTCTAGTTCAACACTACATGGAAGAGGTACATCACAGCCCTCTGCTGCACACCAGCACTTCATCTCACTGCAGGCCCCAAAACTGCACCGTGGCTCCTCACAAGCCAAAAACTGGAGGCCACATCGAGTAGAAACCATGGCTGTAAAAATGCAGCTAAGTACAGTGCATCCCTTTTGTGTAACCTTTACCCTCTCAAAAGCAATCCCAGCTTTACTCACTATTTTTGTTGTTGAAGACAGACACAGACAGTGCATTTTGGATGTCTGTGAGCTGTATGTCTTCCCTCGTCCTCCCGTTTCTCCAGAAATCCAGTGCCACCTCTGTTATCTTTTCAGCTCCTGCGTTGCTAAACGAAGAGAAAACAGAGATTGTAGCTGGGGGTAGTTTTAAAAGCAGTGAGTGCACAGAGCTGCAAACCTGAGAAGGTACTTCTTACCTGAGGAAGATGAAGATGGCCTGTCTATAAGACACCCCATCCAACAGCTCATAGTAGTCCAGGAAGGGCTTGATTGAGTCAATGAGTCCTGCGTGCATTTTATCCATTTCATCAAAGATGAAGAGGGATCTGGGACAGATGCTCACATTTCCCCGGATCCACGACTGCAGCTGGTCCTGAGTGCCATAAAAATGAAAGATGCTGGATGAGTTTGTGTCGAAAAGACAGAAAATAGCACTTATGTTTACTGAACTTTGCCCTGAAAGAGTTATTTCAGTGGTGTCATTTTAACAGCTCTGTCTTTCTTGACAAAAATTAAAAGTTGTAAGTGAAACTTTTAACAAAATCTTATGCTGGAACTGAAAAATCTTAAGGCACCAAGAGACAGGATGGGACAAGCAAGAAATCTCCTTGTGAGAAAGATATTCCTATATAAAGCAAAAATTAAAGTGCACAGCAGGACAAAGGATGGGTCCCACCAAGGAACAGCCACACAAAGCCACAGCTCACTTAAGCATTGCATTTTTCTCTCACCTAAGTGTTGCATTCGAGATCATTAATGAATTAATTGGGGGAAAAAAAAGGGTTGATCTGTCTTGACTATTTTCATCACTTTTTTATATTCACCGTTAACTCAGTCCCTGAACTGCAGGTGTTAAGTAGCAGTCACTACTGGTAATAAGTAGCAGTAGGTTTCTCCTACTGCCTCGGGCAGCAAGCTTCCCAAGTTTATTCACCTCAAAACAAATGCAGAAAAGCTTCTATTTTATTTTAAAACAGCTCAGCTACAAGGGGAAAAATAAGCTGTAAAAGAGGAAACATCTATTTCCTCCATTTAGAAATCAAGTTTGTAACCCATCCTGTTCCCATTTTTAACATATACAAACTGAATATAAACATGCAGTACTACAAGACAGTGGTACTCATTCAAACTCTGCTGTTAACAAAGTCAGAACAAAAAAACCCAGAAAATATGCATTTGAGCTACTCCTCCACAATATCTCCCTGCCCACAGAACTGCACTGACCCCACAAGGTGACACAACAATTCCAAGTACATTTATCTGTACCTCTCTGACAACGTAATATCTTGTGATTTCACTTTACAGCTGGGAAATGGATCCACAGAAAACTAAACAAGCTGCTCAGTGTGCAGCAGAACTGACAGAAAGGTACACCAGTGCCTCAAGAGATCAAACTTCAGCTTGCCCTGGTGCCTGACACACCTGGAGGTCACTGGGTTGTTCCCCAGAGTCATGAGCTATTGGGGATTTTTTACAGTGCCCACCAATACATTACCTAACCATGACTCATGTTTATCCTTAACTCTCTCTACGCAAACTGTAGAGTGAAAATTAAACCGCACCATTCTTCCCTAAAGAGAGGCTCAAAATACATGAAAAACCTTTACAGTCACGGGAAAACCAGACCTGATGGATGTAAGGATTCACCTCGTTCTGTGCTGAAGACTCTAAAACAGGCACAGGATACATGTTACTGCACAAAATAACGTCTAGGTCAGTAGTACCGATCATGCCATGACATTTATAACCCAGGGCAGTAGAGCACACTCTTACCTTGTAGAGATTGATGCTGTGAGCGTGAGGAAAGTGCAAAGTTGCGACGAACTGATGGACGTATTTACTCTGCAGGCCTTTTTTATAAATGCTCTCGGCGACGATCTTACTGACAAAGTTCTTGCCTGTCCCAGTCCACCCGTGCAAGGAGAGCGCCAGGGGCTTTTTGGCGTTGGTGTTGTTCAAGAAGCCCCTCACGGCTTTCACAACCACCTTGCTCACCAGGTGCTGCCCGAACAGCCTCTTGTCCAAGG